GATTGGACACTTGTTAATTAGTAGTATCATGTGTCTAGTCCTTTGGTGCGGACTGAGTTCTACCAGTCAAGTTTGCAATGTGTCCTCCATATTAGGTGGCTCATCATATTGATGCTTTGTGAATTGTTGGTAATTGATGGTTGAATGCAATAGGCAGGAATCCTTGCACCTAGGTTTTGTGCTTATCGGCACTCGTCAGCAGGGCGTATCTACAACCCTGAAGGAATTCTGAGATTCGAATCCGAGTCACTCGCTGTTGCAGTCAGAGACGATACCACTGAGCTCGTGACTGATCCCTTGTGATATTATATCGGACACTAGCTAGTAACTAGTGTCACGTGTCTAGTTTTTTGTTTGGTGCAGCCAGTGGTGTTTGCCTCATGTTTAATACCAGCTTCTAACAGGTGCAACAATAGTAAACGATGGTAGGGTGATTATAGAAACTATCAAGTCTGTTTATTACAAATTAAAACACTCAGTCGATTACACAAAGGGCTGATAATGACTTTTAGTGCGGTGAGGTAACGAATATTTACGAATACTGATGCAATCTTGTGACATTATGTTGATAACACACTTAAACGCCAGTTCGGTGTCGTCAGGATAACAGATAATCTATAGATGTAAATGATTTCATAATTTCACAACTTACAAACGAATCCACACTCATTATTTTATAAAAGAAGAGGCGATTAGCAAAGAGTTGCTCGTTTCAGCGATGCCAGTCTCAGGCTGTACAATCGCATATGTATAAAATAGATTTTCGTAGCACCTGAAGGAATGTTTCCGAAGGTGTGTTATTAAAATTATAGGATTTAAATAACAACTGCGAGGTAGATAAAGCCTTACTCCGGCGGAAAGTGAACTAGGTATGCTCAGTGACGTAACGTAGTTGACAGGACTGAGTCAAGTTCAACTAAAATTGAAACAGAGTCAAGTTAGGATCGATAAGATACCAAAAGAAATATTAATAGTGGGAAAGGTGAAGAAATAATGGAATTTTAAAAAAATTACTCGTCAAGTGTTGAAACAAATCAAGTCTTTTGTATGCTCAGTGACTAGAAAAACTTCTGTATGCAGAGTTGAGGATTTAACATATGCACTGGAATAACTTTTCATGGTTTGATTCATACGCCTTTGGTAAGATTCCCTGACACTCTGTGGATAATTCTAAAATTGATTTGTGAGTTATCTTGGTGTCTAGAAACGATCGGATTTTCCAGGGGAGAGCAGCAGAGGTAAGTTTTTTCTCCTCTGTAAAACCATCAGAATAAATGTTCTATGATAAGTCTGGCTAGCAAATATTAAGTACGGCCGACATACCTAGCTTCAGAGGACCAGGTATGCTAGTAGATCTACAGCAGATTTCCAAACTGAATTCAGATTGATGGAGGTCTGGCCTGTCTTTCGCATCCTGTTTTTAAAATCTTCATCGGTGCCGCTTATATTGGAAACGGTTTTGCCTAGATAAGTGAGGGGAAAGACCTCTTTCAAATTCCTCTCGCTGACAGTGGTTGGTTGGTAATCTTCATCACCTCAGTCTTTTCCGTGTTCACTTGAAGTTCTATCTTCGCTGCCTCCCACTTATTCCAGATGGTTGGTTTTTGTGAATTTATTTGATATTAGACATAAGTAGTCAGCCAAGTTCAGATCTTCTTGTCAGTTCAACGCACTCCTCTCCGCGCACAATGTGGCACATAATGCAGTCAACCATAATAGGGAATACCATCTTGGATGATAATGTAACAACAGAAGACAAGGGCCAGACAGCAGATCGTTTATTTAGGAAATCAACAGATATTTATAGATTTTCATGTACATTAATATAGATTATTGTAAGCAAACAAACACAGTCTTCTGATTGGTGTTTTCTCGCTGAACGCTAATCTTTCATCTTGAAGTTCAGATTATCTATCTGCAAATTGTATCCGCCTACCCAAAGTCTGCTGTGATCTGTTGTTGAGTCAGTCTTTGTTCTTATTTTTCTCATTGGGGACGTAAATTACTGTCCACCCATTTTGGCTAGCAGCCAACTCTCACCATAATATTAGGTAGTAGCCTTGCCTTACTCCTGTATTCAATTCAATGGCTTCTGCGAATTTCCTGTTGTGAATCAATTGACACGTGGCATTGTCATATAGTTGTTCGATTTCAAAATAGAGATCTTATTCTCAAAGATCAAACTGATATTCCCCTCTTGATAACTGTTTCTGGTTTGAAGTCATATTATTGCAATCGAATTGGAAAATTATGATTAACAACTTATTATCCTAGTAAATCGAAACTCCATTGTGACTTAATTTCAGTCATCTTATTATGTCAGCGTACTCAACAATCAGCTCAAAACATGTATGCATATTTGGTATTCATGATAAAATTCTTATAAATAAAGAGAATCACTCCTATGGCTTAATAACCGATTGACTTTTCCTTGCCGTTTATCTATACAAAATCAGTGTTTTTTTTAACGCAACTAGAAAAAAAAGCACTACATTAAATTTCACTTTATTGAGGGTTTTACACTGAGTAAATGACAAAACTTCATCCTTTGAACTTGAATATCACTCAGCTACGAGTGAACATGACATACAGAGACAAATAATGAGTGGAAAGTTGAAACACGTTTTGCCTACTTTTGAAGCAAATAATGGCTGAAAGCTAATTGAGGATTTCAGTTGTAGAGCACTTTTTAAACCAGCAGTCTCCAGGTTACTAACCAAGTGTCTTATTTACTGAGCAAAAAATAACCAATTATGTATTAGGTTTTAACTCCACTACTAAAGATTTGGAGATTTCCGCAACTATTATGTGATTCAATAGTTAAGATTGGTTTCATCTCAGTCAGGGTGGGTTTTTACTGGGCTAACATGTGTGAATTATTTTATTATTGTTCCCTTGGGTTCCTAGTGGAACATAGGGCTACAACGTGCTTCTATCTTCTGCTGTACTTTTCACCTGTATCCATGTTAGTCCATACTGTTTCAACTCCTCTTCACACGATCGCCTCCATGTCACCCTTGGACGTCTCACTCGCCGCTTCCCTTTCGGGTTCCACTCGAGCAATGGCCTGACGTGCGGCCACTCGCCGAGGAGGCCGCTGGGTGACATCGGGTGTCAACATGTGTGAATGAATGACTAGTTTATCTTTTCGGCTAAGGAAATGGACGTGCGCTACATCTCCACGTGAAAACACCCTTATTTAGCATTAGTGTTTCTGAGGAGGAAGAAAATGACCACTTACTCATCTGAACTGTTACCAGAGTTCGTTGATACAATTTAATCTTATGATCAGTATAGCTTCCTCAATTTCAAAATCGTTGAAACTTCGGAAGAAATATTGTTAGCAATCTTTTCACCACTAGATTAATTGAATTTTGTATTGTATTTAGACTGTTAGAGTACAACCATAGACGAGAATTTAATTGAAAAGTAAATATTTCTTCGTTCAAACCTTTCGTTGTGACAACGTTGTACACTTTACTGTTCTTATGACATTAAATATTCATCATTTTTAAGCTCAAATCACATGTTTGTCTGATGAGTACAACTTCTCACATACATCCATTACCAAAAGATTCAATGTGCGTCCCTATTCAGTGTCGCCTATACATTACGGGTCATCAACTGAATGAATGAAAAATATGATAAATGAAATCCAGTTTACTTTCACAACAAACGAAAAAAATACGAAGTTGCTTTAGCTAGAACTCATCCGGTAGCCTCTTTTTCAGTGGTAACTGGAGAGGTATCCATCAGAAGTCACCTTCAACTGTGTTTACGAATTCACATGTACGTCCTAGAGCAAGTATATTGGAGGGTAGGCATTGATTTGTTTTTCCAGACAAATTCCCGAAAGAGTGAGACTCAAAGATTCCTAGGACCTGATTACCTCAATAGGATTTTGCGAATAAATCCGAAATCCCTTTCTCTTTGACGAATTTACAACCATTAAGCGAGTTCATTCTAACCTATGTAAGGAGACCGTAATCTAGTTCAGCCTGCCTTACCTACAATTGTTCAACTTGCAACGTTAATCACTCATCTTGTCTTCCATTTTTACTATTATTGTTATAATTCTTAACCAGTCCACTGATCTGAATGCCTTTTTATGTGTTGTCATGTAATTTTCTTCTTGTATACTGCGATGAAGAGTGTTTTGTTAGAAGCCACTCCCTAGAACTTCTCGAATCTTTACCCAGACTTATTATAAATAACTAATTTCTCTTTGTATAATTTGTCATATCTATGCTATCAGATTGTGCTCTTAATCTGTATTCTTATACTTAGTTTCTGCTCTGTAGAATGAAAAAATTGTATTTTCACCTTTCATTAATGCTATGTATATATTTTCGATTATTTGCAGCTGAAGAGAAGCTAAGAAATAAAATGCCCATGTTTCATGCTACGAGTCTAGTTGATTTTGCTTAGGCGAAGATGAATTAAGGGGACACCTTGTTTCTTAGTAATACAGAGGTTAACTAAGCACGGTAAGCCAATCAATGAGGTTTTGAAGTTACACCGATTGAGATGGTTAGGACTTGTGTTATGCATGGCGGGCAATGTTAACTGACATAAGATTAAGTTGGAAAAGACTGAGAGCTGGTTAAAATAAAAACCAGCTAGGTAGGGAAGGAGATGTAGACTGACTAGTTTAGATCCTTGAGACGCTAACAATTGGTGGATTGAGACCATTAGTGATATGGTTCAGGACGGCACAATTGCATTCTCTCTTTTTGACCTCCTATATCCATTAAACCCTTATGTTTTCCATGTTACTATTCTTCAACCTCCCCTTAAATATCTGCTTATTATATTTCTCTGAGACGTCTTTTTCCTCCCATTTCCCAATCATTGCGTGCGACACAGAGAGTGTGGTAACTTGAACTGGTGCACTTCTGTGTGAGGTTCTACACTGGAACTCAGCCAGTCCATCAGTCAGATACGTTGTTTGAGTTCTTTTGTGTTAGTCAGTTAAAATACAACTGCGAAAATTACACTAGTTAATCAATATAAATTTATTTGTAAAAATAATATATTTATATGTACATAAGGATTTACAGTTAGAATTTACATACGAGAAACAGTATCATAAAATCAATAGTGAATTCTTTGCCGATGACGAGTGAATAAAACTCTCTCTCTCTCCCTTTCTCTTATCCACTCACTTGTGAAGAAGAGGAAACAAGAAATGAAATCATTAGAATTCTTGCAGTATACTTCGAAAAGAATTCAGGACATTCATCCTGAAAAACAAAATAAGACGGACAACAGAAGGCATAAATTTTCTTCATTGAAGACGTACCACAGAGATAAAAACAAGTAACTATTCCACAATATGATACGTGAATACAATTATGTAAGCAAAAGAGGTAAGACGCATTACTAGAAAGCTTCTGTTTCCCTTTTAGAACATAGGTATTATGTCCAAATATATATATATATATATATATATATATATATATTTAACACCATTATACGATTATCATATTGTCAGTCATTTTTTGTCTGGTGTCTATTTCAATAACTTAGAAGTTTCGGATTTGCAACACTAATTTCAAGCCATTCAGTGCTTCTATGTGCTTCAGAGACTTGACATATCATCAAAAGCATTTCCAATACGCTTAAGACCATCAACAACTGTGGTTTCTGGCTCCATCCTGAAGATCAGATGATCAGAAAGGATTTGTAACAAGAAACTGTGGGAACGAACCAGTCAAGAACTCATGGATAGGACACACGCTGAGGCGACAGTTGGGCAACACAAATAGTCAAGCCCACCCTCGAGTGGAACCTGAATGGGAAAGGACAAGTTGGGCGCGACTCTAAGGGTGACACGGAGAAGAATATATGAAGATGATATGCGAGCTTATGGATAATCGTGCAACAAGATAAACAGGGCTATAGAAAACAGGATGTCATGTAGATGGCACTGGAGAAGCCCTATGTTTCACTCAGAGCCAAAGAGAATAGTAATACAAAAGTTAAGGGATAAATTTTGGTCATGAATAGATTCCAATTATAGAACCATTAAAAACCAACAAGAGGCACTGGACAGCTGTTTCGTGCTAGTTTGAGACTCTTCAACAGCAAATACATATCGCCTCACCGAGGATCGAATGCAAGAGCTTCTGGTTCTAAGGCGACCTCATTGACTCTAACTGAAGTCACTTCATGGTCAAATTTAAAGTCAGTCAAATCCCTATACATCAACACTTGAAAATAACTGGTGAAGTTATGGCCCCCAAAATCACATGACTGTTCTACAACAAGAGAAGGGATATTCATTTGACGACGATACGAGTACGCGCCTGTTTAACAACTGTTATTCAAGAACTATTTGTATTTTCATACTTGTAACGTGAAGATGGATAGTATTACCTAACTGCCTAAACCTCAGCTGATGGAATGGGGTAATTCAACTTGGGATTCAATGATTGAAAATCAAGTGCCTAGTCCAATTAACTAGACCTTCATACAAAAGTATTCATAACTAACTACTGATGGAATTTAACCATTTTCTTACTACATTTTGTTGTCAGAATGAAACTATCACATTATATTATAATTTCCTTGGTTTCTGAATGGAACACACGGATTCAGCAGCCCCTCCTTATTTCATCCTGTTTTCTACAATCTTCGCGACCGATTATAAGCTTTCATCTCCTCCTCACACGATCTCCTCCATCTAATAATTGGACGTTCAAATCGTCATTTCCTATTCGCGTTCCACGCTAGCATCTGGCACTTGATGCCGCCTAACGGTCATATAATGCATATTCATTTGTCTTAAATTATGTATGATTAAAATAAACCAACAAACTAAAGCTAATAAAAACAGGCAATAAACGAATTTATTGTTTACTAGATAATACGACAACAACAATGCAAACGACTTATGATCGATCATTCTGACTAACAAAAAAACCGAATTTTATTATAAGACAAAATCCATGCGTCGTTGGATTCCATCCTAGTGACTAAGTGATTAACGCGTTCATCCCGTAACAAAAAGATCCTGAGTTCGGTGGCCAGTGGGGTTGTGGATGCATACTACTGAAGAGTCCCAAACTAAGACATAACAGATGACCGGCATTGTGTCGTTTCCAATGTTTGTTTAATCAATGTAAGCTCATAATTTAACTTTTAATCTTTTTAAATGAATGCCACTTTTAGTATCATCACTGAGGTGCAAATTTAATCCCCTACAAAGAAGTATATATATATATATATATATATATATATATATATATATATATATATAAATGTAGTACTCACGCCAATGGTCTCTTTTCTTTAACACGGCTGTTTCCAACTTTACGCGGGTTATTTAATTTTGTTTTTGAGTCAGATGCCTCACTTGGCTTTGTAAAAAATGACTGACCACCAACAGGTAACTGAACATCCAGTGGTTTGTCTGTTTCTTTATTTTTTACCATAGACTTTAAGGCTGATTTCAGATTTGTATGACGATTGAAATGCGTCTGTAACCTCAACTTATGTCGTTTTCTTTGCGGAATTTTTTTCATTATACGATGAATTGAATCATCTACTGGTGTACGTAAAGAACCGCTAATCAACTTATTGTTCAGTGGAGTCGTTCTATTTGATTCGTCCAAAGTTTCTTCAAAGGTTATATTGGGAGTCTGGAAAGTAATAAGAAAATAAAAGTGTGAAAGTAGAGAAAGAAACTGATTGGAAGAAGTCGTTGGAATCTATTCTGGTTTATAATATTTCAAATCTTTGTTAATCAGACTCAAAGGTTTCATAGATTTCAGCCGGGAAGTCTACACAATATTCTTTTTTGACATTTCATGCTACAAATAGTACACAAATTAAAGAAAATTGATCTTACACACTTTTCAGACAATTTCTGAACAAAAGCCTCCAGACTGACAAGTGGTACATAGAAATTTCTTTCGATAGCGAAAGGGTTGCACAGTTTTCGAAAAGTCAGTTGCGACAGATTTTCTGAAGGCTCATAAGTCAGATGGTAATTATGATAATGACAATATGATAAACTGACCACCATCAACTGACCCTATGCTGGTGTATAACAGTAAAATCTCAGATGATTGTGATTTTCTAGAATAATTGAGCAAGGATTTCAACCTACCTATTTTAATAAAAGAGTTAATAAAATTTGAAGAAGTATCACATCATATATCACGCCGCGTGAGACATGAATACACCAGTTTTCCAGTTAGTGTCAAAGTCATATGTAGTGACTGCACAACTCTTTGAAATTGAATCAGTGGCTAAAAGTATTCTGGGAAAACTGTAGTAGAGGAGATGAAGTTGCTAGAAATCAAACAAGTGTACTCAGACATCTGGGATCGGCTGTTCACTGACAGAATATTCACCAACCACTTAGTCCAGGGTTCAGCCTACTAAAAAAGCACTCCTAAACATCGCATAGATGGTATTAAGCTCACTGAAAGGAAAGTTGGACGGGAGTCTAGCTATCTAACCTCTTAAAAAAATAAATACCATTATCAATGGAAGATGAAGTTTGAAGCCCTATTTCATACTAGTTAGGTAAAGAAATAAAATAATAGTAACCTGGGGTCACATCAAACATGGAAGCAGACAATGCATTTAAGTACGAGACTGCAATAAGGGTAATACAGTGATTTATAACTTGAAACTAAAATACGTAGCTGTTGCTAAAGTTCGAGACAGCTTAGAATTTGCCCCTCATTTACTGTAGTCTGTCTGTCAGTTTTCAGCATAGAACTTTGCACATATGTGCGGCAGTTCAAGTCGCCACACTCCATTTAGCACACAAAGCAAGAGAAGAAATGCATAATGGGGACAGTGGGCATGGATATAAGACAAAGGAATAGTAATAACGAAGAACAATATTGTTTCACTGAAAATGATAAGTCACAAGGAGTGCATGCATCTGCGCCATTGAGAATGATTTTGAGCCATATCACCAACTGCTTCCTACCATTGGTTTTTACCGTCCCGAGGATCCCAACCAGGAAGTCTACACCTTCCTACATGGCTTAAATTAACTGTTGTGGATTTTATTCACTGGTGCCATGTTTTGGTTTTCCAGTCTGACCCTGTCAGCTGACATTGCCTGTCGGTCGACGAAAGCGATGACTAGGCATATGTGGCACATGTTGTAACCCTCTCAGTCGATGTAACTTCACAACCTCGTCAATTGATTTCCCCTCCTTACCTAGCACTCGACCGAGGCCTAACCTCAATATTGCTCACCTTATTATCCCTAATAAGCCAAAGATTCATTTTCAGTGGTATCATCAGTTTGCTATAAGAACTAAACGTGACTTAACATAGTCTAACAGCTGGAGTTCGACTGTATGAATTATTAAAATACTGCTGAAGCATTAGTAACTTGTCATACTATATCGAAACAGACTATTACAAGCTTACTTATTACGAGATAGTCTTAACAATTCTAGTTTAAACATCTATACAAAAACATAACAATGCAGGTACAAGTGACAGTCAGCAAGTCAAATATTTTCACATCCTTATCTAATTAATATTCATAACCTGTTGATTATAGCATGCAAATCTTTACTGTACAATTATATGTCAAAATCTTGTAAAATGATCTATATTGACTGACTTTATAACAAAGTTACATAGGTAAACCAGTCTTTCTGACTGAGTTTCAATATAGGACTTTGCTTAGAAGTGCAGCAGTTTAAGTTGCCAAACTCCATATGCGTACACGACGGTAGATCAAAAAGAGACTAAAAAATATTCAGAAGTACTATAAAAAGCGTAACACTAATATGGAAAAACAGGAATAGACAGATATGCGAGATTACAAAGAGTGAATCCGTCTGCACCACTGATAACAATTTTGAGCTATATCTTGAAAAAACTCCAACCATTGGTTCTTAGAATTCTGACCACCTCAACCAGGAAACCTGCATGGCACAAACCAACTGTTAAAAATCTCATGGACTGATGCTAACTCAATCCCTTGTCCGCTAGCATTGCCTGTAAAGGAAGGCAACGCTCCGGCATATACAACATGTATTTTAGCCATCTCAGTCAACTCATCTTCATAACCGCATTGACTGACTAACTTTAACCCCCCCCCCCTAACTTAACATAACGCTTGACCTTAATATTGTTCAGTATGTTAAACTAATCTTTCAGCTTCCTGATACACTAACCTTAATTTCCAAATTGGAATCATCAACCAGCATATCAGCAGTTGCATTCGTTTTGAGCTCTTGTTTCAGCATATTCTTCATCTTCTTGCTCACAACCAACATCGATCCATCCTCAGTACGGATACATTTCTTAGAAAAACGATGGGTGAAGGAACCAGAAGCACGAACCATGATATCTAAAATAAATGAATTTTCATTGCTTTAAATTTAAATTAGCATTTGCAACAATGGTTATATGATAGAATTAAGTATAAATTATACAAAAGAAATATGAGGTAGAATGCTGAGTGAATTAACTTTAACCTTTGCAGTAGGAAATATTGTTGGAAATCTTTTTTATCGGAAACCATCAGCTAAGAGTCACGAGGTGAAGTGAATTAGTAAGTAAAATTAAAGATAATTCTGTCATAGGCATGATAAAATATATCACTTATTAAATTCTAAAACCCGTATTTAACTTACCAGTACTAAGGTAGGAAAAAAAGGAAGGTAAGGCATAGGGCTAGAGACCCCACTTCGGAGGTACACAACGCTATGTCCACTGGAACTTTACAGCAAAGAAAAAAAGAACATTTTTCACTGGAATACGAAACACTCCTCAATTTTTCGACAGATGATGCCGGCTGATGACAGCCTTCCGAAAGACAGCCAATGTATCTTCTTCTGATGAAACCTATGGTAAGCATAGTGACACGGAATGTCTTCACGATGCCTGGGGATAGCAAAGCTATTCAGATTGCAAAACGAATGAGACATGGCATAGGAGTGCTGGAAATATGTGAGAGCAGGGTTCTGCGCGTTGATGATTTGGTAACTGGGAGCCGTATGCGTGTGATATCTAGAAGCCGAGGGTGGATTACATCAGATGGACAGACAAAAATTCAGATATATTTCATCTGTTATGAAAGTGGAGACAGAACCCGAGTGGACATAAGATCGATAGGAGGAGCACATACAACCTCAGATCCCGATTTAATGTAAGAAATTTTCAAGTTCGAGTTGTAAGACCTCAGCTAATACGAAGATATACCACAATTCAAGTTCAGCACTTAGAAAATGAAGGACGAAGTTACGAAAACTTCACTGCAGTCATCAGAATGTAGTTGGAAGCGTTATTAGAGAAGCAACTGCACTAGCGATATGCTACTGAAATTTAGTGTTCCAATAGAAAAGCAGGGAACGAATTATAATAGTGACAATAATAATGACTGTGGTGTTTTAATTCAATATAAAGTTGGTCTATAGGAACCTTTAGACGAATAAATAATATGAGAACTCATTGTATGAAGTGACAGCTTTCTTATTTAAATCTCATAGCGTTCCAAGATCATTTCATGATTGGTTTATGTATCAGTGTGAGGCCGAACAGATTAGAATGAGATGGTTGGCAAATGACTGTCAGTCTTAACATAGCTGCTAATCTTTGGAGTTCTGTTATAACACAATAACTGTTCACCTTTAGATGCAAATAAAATAAAGGTGAAATAGCTCTTTAACCTATTCTACATAGCCTTGGAAAAATTTTTCTTTCTTCATTTGGCAACATAACATGCATCGCTTCACGAAATTAACATCAACGCAAACATTGTAATCAGTAATTCTTCTTTATACTGATTACAATGTTTGCGTTGGTTTATTATTGAATATGAATTACCATTAGGAATAAATAACTGCGCTTAAATTCTTCTATAGTATCGCGGCTATCTAGAGTTTGTTTGAAATACGCACTTCTGAAATGCATTTTTCAGGGAAAATTAAGCACTAATATCACACAGACTATTAAAGGATAGCAAATTCAGATAATTGAACAGAGCCTCTCACTGCATTATAGCTCCACAGGTTTATCAGTTATCTACGATAAGTAAATCAGAATTTTACAAAATCACTAGTAGTTATCTAGTGTCAAGATACGATGATTTTAAACCTTTATAGAGAGGTATGTAGTATGACACTGAGGATGAAATTTAGTGACTGAAGCATGCTACATGCAATAGTGCACAGACTTTCTAGATATGCAGAAAACATATGAGTACATTATTATCTTTGCCCCAGATTGAAACAATACGGAAATAATTTTTGAGAATGAAGGAAAATGAGGAGATATTAAATGATGTTTAGTGGATAGAGAAATTTAGTACGGCAAATGAATTTATGCCATTCAAGTTGATAACATTTCTGCAAGTCATGATAAAAATTTATTGATAGCTACCGTGTCTTCCGCAGCTCTAAAGCCACCAGCATATCTCACAAACCTTAGTTTGTATTCTGCAAGTTGCTGGAAAGTTTTTTAGGCAGACAAGCAAATGCCTTAATATAGGGTACAAAGGAAACCCAATCGACAAGTACATCCATCAAATCACGCCAAAAACTAAGCAGAATGTAAAAATTTAAGACGACGGTGGTGAAAACACTTTCAAGTGATTTTAAAGAAAAACACCACATATGACTTTTCGAAAACAGCCATGACAGCCACTAGGGATATTAATTGTATACTCCTACTAAGATGACTAATCATGCGTGATCCAAATGGATTTTTATTATATTTATAACCCATCTAGTGGGAGAATTTTTTCTCTGACCTGGGTTATGGGGAAAAACGCGGGCAGGATTTCGTTCAAAAATGGGCAAAGTGAGCTGCAGACAATTTTATCTTTAAGGGCAAAATTCATTAGGCATATATCCAATCTGTAGCACTATCAAACATCTAAGGAGAAGAATTTGATAAATTCTAGGGAGAATTTACTAATTTAGAGGCACTAACGGATTCCCGGGTGCTTTTATGAATTTCCCGAAAATTCTACCGCGGGATTAGCCACCCCTTAAACTTTACTTTGAGGTCGGTTAACGACTTAAATTTCTGGAGGTCAGATGCTGAAAAAATACATACTTTATAAATGCCAGATATCTCGTTATGTTGAAAACACGTCTAAAAGTAGCGCAACACTTGCAACCACCGCAATAGTCCAATACCCAACATCTCTAAATGCATTAATATATTTCCATATCTTCTTTATGCTCGGCATAAGACTTTATATTTCCATATAATTTAGAGTGAAATGTTCACCTATCTACCTGTTGTCAATATAACAGATTATAATATCGTTGTAACCCACCTAGCATTTTTTTCGGGCGGTTTGCACATTTTTTAGGGCAGGCTTAGGGACACTATCACACGTAATTTATGCGCCCTAAGTTTCTTGTCCCAAAGTCTTCAGTGCGCCCGAAAAAAAATTTAGCTGGAAAGTACGTAAGTATTGTAGACATCACTTATATCACTTAACAATTTACTTCTGGTAGATTGGAAATCGATAATGTAACATTTGTGTATATGGAACGAAGGATAACTAAAACAAGTGATGGGTGTCATGGATAGATCAATTGTCCATCTCTTATCCAAGCATTAGAATGATTACAGACTGTGCGTCAGTGGCACAGTGGTTAGGACTCCCGCCGACCATGCACATGATCCGGGGTTCGAGCCCTCGCCGATACACACCTGATATCTATGGTCGGCCTGCGAATTCTGAGCTACCGATATCCACGCTGAAAATTCCATACTTGTACCAAAAATACGGTGTGGAATCAAGCTGTAATCAAAAATAAAATTAAAAAAATATTAATTTAGGTTTTCTGGCCACTATCCTATAGACTCATATTTTGATTTTTGTTAGGATTTCTTAGTGGTTCTTCGCCCTCACACACAGGAAATATTAGAAAAAAACTTTCAATTATAACCCGGATCCATTGGATAAGTCCGCATTTCTGTTAATTAACTTATTCGCCCAACAGGCCCTGACAAGATACTTTCAAATCCTGCCATGATGGCTTGCATCTAGATACATATTAAATAAAAACAGAATTTTAACGTCCCTTACAGAATGAATATCAAGCATTTAGTTATTTGGTTGCATCACACCAAGCTACTTTCCGATTACGCGCTCGATTAGACTTTGTTATGGCGGTTCAAGAATCTAACGTTGCTGTAGACGATCAAGTTGATGATGAGAATTGCGGCCCACTGTTAATACAGAAGCTCGAAGTAAGTTAACATGAAACTTCTCTGTGGTGCATTTTTGGTGAGTATGTTGACCCGATAGGTAAAAAGGACCCTCAGTGAGTGTAATGATTGTGTGAATTGATCTCTGAAGGAAATCATAACTTCCTGCTTCTTATTCCAGGGGAATTACCTAGGTCCATTTAATTTCAGAAAGAGATCACTGGATGCCAGAAGTATTAGTACCACAGGCTTTCACCTTACGACTGATATATATCGACTCCTACATCTTGGAGGAAGGCTGTTCTCAATCGCCCCAGGGGATTTTCTGGTTTATTGCAGCTGTTGGTTTGCTTTAACTCCGGTAGGCACGAATACTATTACGGAATATGTGTAAATGAAGTGGTCTTTCATCTTGAATATTATAACCAAGAAATTGACTGAAATATTTTGCTCTTTAAAGTGATATGTCTATGTAATACACTGCGAACATCCGATATCCAATATTGTTTTTACGAGCTAGTATAAACCAATTTGATTTCTTTGTGCTCGCCTCTTGATTGAGGAGTATAGGTTCCTGATCTTCGGTAGACTTCTGCGTAGTTCGTTCCGCCACTCGAATGTCGTAGCTTTGGTTGACTCCAAAAGGAGTAGAGCTGGGATTAATAATACGTGGTTTGTATTATGAGGTGTGTTGAGACTGTTACTACCGTGACTGCAGTTGATCCTTTCACCAGTCCTTCAGTATCGTCATCAAAAGAAAAGAGAATAATAATAGATATAATTAGTGGTTATTCAGACTAACGGACAGAAAAAGAAATAAAAAAATGTAACAACAGTCAGCTGGTTAAATTTGAAGAATAATATGAATAATATATATAGAACATGTATCCTTCGTAACTCCTACTCCTTCAACGGATGTCGCTGTCATCTTCAGCGTATAGATTTCCAGTTGCGATCCAACTAACCTGTTTTTAGATGTTCTTCGCTAATCTTTAAAGTAGATGCACATGTTTGCTGCATAAAGCACACCATGTTTTTGGTGACTGAGATCACCTAAAAAAACCTCTGGCTGTTTATAGTGTTTGATATTTGCATGCACTTTTTAACGATGCTATTTAACTGACGTTTACCCGTTTAACATAATGGTTTTGATAATGGCCAAAACAGGACGAATATAATACACAAAAGAGCATGATAGGTGTCAACAAAGAGTATTTTAAATGCCTTAATGCCGTCATTAGCTGATAGTAAGATACTCAATTTGAGTAATAACTTGTATGACACGAGTAGTTCGCCAGCTATTTCAACTTTAATGTTTGTCTTGAAAGTTATTCTTGTCTTCGGATAGTACTGTTTTGTTCCCAGTTATGTAGACAGCAGCCACCGAATGATTAAGATTTACCTAACTTATATGCTAAATACTCGTACTTATTGAGTGGGAGATTTTGAGTATCTATTACTTAAGGCGTTACTGCTTGTAGGCGATTTGTTTAACAATGAGCAAAGAAGTGGTTTATCTCTTTGCTTACATAGGAATTCGTGCAAGTCTTAGTGGATTTACCGCTGAATAACTGTTCGTAATCACCAAATCCATTAATGTTTAGACATACCCCTGGCAACTGCAAGATAACAAAGACCGATTATGGCGTACCGTAAAGTATTTAGTTCATTAGCTATCTAGCCATCAAGGTATCACTAATTATTGATGAAATCGTTGGGTCAGAAATGTCAAGTCTTGGCTCTGAATCAGGTTAACGGATGTAAAATTACATTTATTTTGCGGTGAATGCTACTGTTCTCTTAGAGGTGTATTGAATTTTTTTATTGTGTTATAGCCACCTCTTAAAAAAGGTTAGTTATTTGTGAGGAGCTATTTTCGTTTTGCGAAACCAAGAAATAATATTTGTGTTGTCATTTCACAGTTCACATATGCATGAAGAAAAACTACTGTGTTCGCTCAGTGTAAATTAGATGGAAAAATTGTTGACTTATTGCATGGCTACGCACAATGAAACTCATTTATGGATTTAGTTACATTGTCACAGCAATTGAAAGACAAAAGTTACGTGGTTTTCAGCTTTGTAACTCTCCCCGAATTAGTAAGCCTGGGCTAGCCAACATCTTGATGTGACCAAAAGTAGAGAGACTAAGAACTTATTAGATCTCAGACTAAAATTTTTGGCTATGTAGGGATCTATAGAGTCATTTAGTGCTAATTTGCACTCAGATTATTACTCCGGTTTTGCACCATCTGGATGACTGTACATAAATAGCACTAATAAAATTGAACCACGTTATTTCGGATGCATTCTGACGTTGTAAGTTGTTGCGATTCGGCATTTATTCTTTCTTTGTTTGCTTTCGCTCCTCAGTGTTTCCTTCTTAATAAGTCATTACTGAAGTAAATTATGCTGTTGTATCCTGTCTTCGATTCACCTTCAATGTTGATATGTCTGTCTGTCTGTTTTCGACATAGAACTTTGCACAAATGTGCGGAAGTTCAAGTCGCCACACTCCGTGTAGCACGCGAAGCAAGAGAAGAAAGTACAAGAAAAGCATAATAGAAACAGTGAGCAGAGGTGTGAGACAAAGGAGGAGTAATAATGAAGAACAAAACAGTTTCATTGGAGATCATAAGTCACAAGGAGCGGATGCATCTGCGCCACTGAGAACGATTTTGAGCCATGTCACCAATTGTTTCCAACCATTGATTTTTACCGTCCCGAGGACCCCAGCCTGGAAGTCTACACCTTCCTACGTGGCTTAGACCGACTGTTGTAGATTTCATTGACTGGTGCCGTGTTTTTGTTCGACCGCCGCTAGCTTTTTTTCCAGCCTGATCCTATATCCGCTAACATTGCTCGTCGAGGGAGGCGATGGCTTGGCATACGTAACACGTGTCCTAAACATCTCAGTCTTTGTAACTTCACGACCGAAAGCTGCTACCTTGACGTGGTGGTCGGGCTTGAACACCGCAATGATCTACTCAAGCTATGCTGGCTGAGACTTATGTCTCTTGAGGTCCTACCATGCCAGGCAGGTTGTTTGGATAGCGGTTAAACAAAAAGCAGCTACCCAATCCAACATCATGACCAATACAAAATCACAAAATTTCATGCCGGATCGGCCGTGGCCCGGATTAACAACGACCGCGCTTCCTGCTGCCGTGTCACAGGGCAGGAGTGATAAGTATGCTACTGAGGCACACCAAACAAAAGAGAACGAACAAAAACAGGCCGCGTGTGACCGGCCTCAAGCAGTTGTCCCCTGGGCTCTGCGGTCACGCAATGTTGATATGCAGACCGATAGTACTTCAGAAAACGAGACTATAAAATTCTATTCATCCGACTAAAACTATAGCCAGTATGGTGCAAATAAGAAATTTGCGTCTTGCATATAATTTTTATTTTAACCAAAGACTTATGACAAACAAACTGCTTTTCCTTCTTAGTCTGCTGGAATCGCTGCAGCTGATATCAAAAAACTCCGAGAAGCAGGCTATCACACTGTTGAGAGCATCCAGTTTGTTCCGAAAAAGACTTTGCTGGCAGTAAAAGGCATTAGCGAAGCTAAGGCGGATAAAATTATAGTAAAACATTTTCAAGCTCTCACCAAATTTTAGGAAGCTGCTCAAAAGTTAGTGCCATTCGGATTTACAACTGCTACCGAATTTCACCAAAAACGATCAGAAATTATTCAGCTGACTACTGGTTCTAAGGAGTTGGACAAACTCTTACAAGGTGTCGCAGACTTGTTTGATGCTGATTGTTATTTATAGGTGGAATCGAAACTGGATCAATTACTGAATTATTTGGGGAATTTCGGACGGGCAAAACTCAGATATGTCATACTTTAGCTGTAACTTGTCAGGTAGGTAGTATTTCTTATTTTTTTCCTTAGTTTACACTGACGTTAAATGTTATCACTGAATATTTATTCACCTGGACTTTTTGAGTGTTAACTTATCTCGAGTTCATATTTTTCCATAGTTTTCACTAGTTTCCATGTATTATTAAGAAAACTAAATATGCTTCATCTCCGTAAACATCTAGTCATAGCATCTGTCCTCTAGAATCCCATTTAAGCTTTCTCTTAAGGCCAGTTCAGAGCTTAAAGTTGTCTAAATCGTCAGGTTACCTGTAAAACGCATATTAGATGGATATTGAATCTTAGCTTTACCTTTGTGAAACTAATTCATCGTCTTGTGCAACACCATAAGATGAATGATGTAAGTCGGTCGTATTATCGGCTAGGCTGTCTGTACCGCACCTTAGCATCTCAAACAGTTGAATCACGCATATACAGAATGAAGGCATTGAGTGTCAGATTTTGTTATGAACATTATGTTTCCTGTTTTAACAACTTACGACGTAACTGCTATCAAACGATAATTTATTAACTGATATCCCTTAGGGTTGTCACTTGTTTGGCTGCTTTGTTTGTAACTCACATACTGTAATTTGGTTAGCCACAAGGAATACTTTTGTCTCCATAATGTCCCCACGCTTGCGAAACCATTTTTGCCTAGCTTGCAGTGATGAGATGGTTTTTAAAAAATCTATTAACACCAAGAAGTATTAACCAAGCAGCTAACTCGTGTCCACCGCTAGACACCTATACGAAATGAAACCCTCTGTCGCATTATCCTGTCAGTCGTTCAAACTATATTAGTGCCTTTAAATACCCATTAGTTTCTGTCTGCAATGGCTAATACTTGCAAAGTCCCTTTCATTTAGTGATAGTATACGATGACCAACTGTTAGTTACGTGTAGATAAGATCGCTGAATTCTCGAAAGAGAACGGATAGTACGAGTAGTTCTTCCCTTTAAAAAAATAGTGGTGATACCGGATACCTATAACCATGCCTTTTTCAATGGGAATACTTCATGAGTTACTCCTTTATTAGTTTCATCTTACAATTAGGATCTTAATAACTTATGGTCACATTGGATGCAGTGTACGCTGTTTTGTTTTTGTAACATACTTCTGCTGGAGACACATATACTAATTTTTCTTATTCATGTTATCATTAGTTACCTATTGATATGGGCGGTGGTGAAGGGAAATGTTTGTACATTGATACAGAGGGTACTTTCCGTCCTGAACGCTTGTTGGCGGTCGCTGAGCGATATGGTCTTTCTGGCAGTGATGTTCTAGATAATGTTGCATATGCTCGAGCCTACAATACGGATCACCAGATGGAATTACTTATTAACGCCGCAGCAATGATGAGCGAATCAAGGTAACCTGTTTTTATTCATAGTGTAAATACTGTTATGTTTATGATAATTTCCCATATAGAATGGGTGTGGATTCTCACTAGGAGTACATCAGTCTAGTATAATGTGATGTGGAATAGAATAATGTTTTAATAAGGAGTACGTTTCATAAATACCTTCGTCACTAACCAGTGTCAACTGAAAAGCAAGTGACAATCAGTCAGTACTGATTTACTTAAATTAGAATTATGGACCTACCAACCCAACTAAAATTGAGTCCAGGGTTATCTCTTTGCATGCCTAACACATTACTACTCAAAAACCACATCCAAATTCAGTAAAATACTTCCTAACTGCTGCAACCTCACTAGCTGTGAATGCTGCCCAATCATTGAAGAGCATTACGTTTTGCAGTGCAATTGAAAACAGACTCCAACGCATACCTGTCAGTCAGTTTGACCACATTGAGCTTTAAATGCTCGCAAAAATGTATAAAAGCCAATTAGTTTAGTTGGTGCTCCAAAATAGTCTTCAAAGTTATTATAATCAGGTGTTCACTTTATTCCAAATAAAAGGCGTTACTTTTGGATACATCCCTGAGGTGTGATAATATGTATAAATTATTAGTTATGTGCATAAATTAATAGAAACGGGAGTTTTGACCTCATATTCAAATGGTTCTGGAAAGCGAAAACTGCAAGTTTATTTCATACCCTTTGTTGTGAACTTTTCTTATAATACGTATCTAATCATATTCATATCTCTACCGCTATTAACACTCTTTTTTCCCTTTATACGTTTAAGCCATTCCGGCTTCATTGTAAAATGAATAAAGCCTAAATTCTTGGTTCATTCGTCTTTTCAAGATTCAAACATCACTCATCGTTCTAAGACCCAGTCACCTTCGTAACACCCTTATTCCCCTTTATCAATTCAAATCAAGTAAAAGCAACAGTTTGACTAGAATAAGATGGTATCGTTTTATTCCGTTAGCTTCTCCTCAGTCACAGACAACCTTTTAAAACATATTTTTAAATACATATTCAGAAACGTTCTTAACGTGCTTGCAAACGTAGCATGATGTTAGTTAACAGGATACTACAAAAATTATAGAATGTACTCATAAGTTACATTTATGTAACCTCTACGCGAAACATTCAGTGTAGGAGTAATTTTGGATACTTTGAAAAAGGAGTTGTGTAAAAAAGGCAAGCCGTGTATAGGTTGGTAATAAGTAATTAACTCTTCCTTTCATTTGATTACTTAATCTCTGCTTTAACTTCTTCCACTTTGATGTGTTGTAATTCTTTTCTGTATGTGTTCGTTGAGGTTGAACTTACTTTCTTCAGATTTAATGCGGCTGATAAGAAACCGACAAAATGAAATTTTAGGCTTTTCCTTATTGTTTTTAGTATTTTAAACCCAAATATTATCGTCAATAGTACGGCACAGGACATTTTCATTCCTAGTTTTATTCATTGCTTGCATTTTTGCTGAGATTATAGCTTTTGACACTAAAGCATTGTAAAGTAGACTACTAAGTTACAAATAGATTAGCTGAATCGTTAACGACTTAAACACATGTCATTAAAAGCCTCCAGTCATCGACTTTCAGCATCCCGGCTAGCGCAACCAGCGGCTGAAAGTTGAGCTAAGCTAATAATAATAATAATAACAGCTTTATTCCAAACAGTATTTGTGGTACAGGTATGGAATTTTCAGCGTGCATTACAGTATAAGCCACAGCTACATCACTATCACTGTATCACTTTCAGATTATGTTTGTTACTGTTATATGTGTTACTCTTTTGTATTTCTCTGTATATTTTTGAAAATCCCCTGCTTTCTAGATAATCCTTCAGTAATATTATATCATACATTATATTTTGGTTACTACAGATATGCATTATTAGTTGTTGACAGTGCAACAGCACTTTATCGTACTGATTATTCTGGTCGTGGAGAATTATCAGCTAGACAAATGCATTTGGCTAGATTTTTACGTACATTACTACGCTTAGCAGATGAATTTGGTGTAGCTGTGGTAATTACTAATCAAGTTGTTGCACAAGTTGATGGGGCTGCTATGTTCTCTGCTGATCCCAAAAAGCCTATCGGTGGAAATATAATGGGTCATGCATCAACTACTCGGTTTGTTTTTATTTCTATTTTTTCCTATTTTACAAAAAAAGAGTTAATTATACTTTCATTCAAGACATCCTTTTATTAAACTGTGCTAGTTTGTATCAAATTCATAATGTGTAAGTTAATTAATTAATTTATCCAATATATTACCAGCTTGCTCAATTAGTTAGCCAAAATTCGAATGATTCGGCTGTCTGACTTGAATCGAACTGAGTACACCACTAATTACCTCGGCCCCAAATAAGCGAAACTGCCGTCCGATGTTGAGATCAATTCGATCTGACCAGTAAGTTCTACTGTTTGATGTGAGTCATACCCATCTACTCATGTCAGTCAGTCAGTAACACTGTGCATCTGGTTTTGTATATTGTTGTCGATGTTGTTTTTCTGAGCATAGCAGTTCTAAGTACTGGACCAGTTTAAGAATGAAAATGGCCATCACGTTTATTTGTATTTAAGAGTCTAATAGATTTGTAGTTTGGTAGTTAATAAAGTTTAAATTTATGTCATATGGTAAAATAATTTCGACTACAGCCCAGCCACGTTTTTCTGGTATGAAAATAACTGAAAGCCAAGGAGCGCTGAACATTTGTTTCGTCCTAGTTTGAAACTCATCACTAGTGCGTGCACATGACTCCAGCAGTGACCAAACCTAGTATTTTCGGATTAAGAGACTAGCCCGTTTAGCGATCGTGACGAAAATATACACTAGAATTGATCGAAATTCCTAAACAATCTGAATTTAATATATACGTTCGTTTCAGTAAAAATAAAAATTCTCTAATTCGACGGTAGAATGCTTGCCAGTCTCTCGGATGGTTCTTATCCTATTTCCAACCTATGCACCCTTAAATCTCTCCTAGCCCATAGTGAGCCGAGAAAAGTTGTAAGGTTGGGTGTGAGGCCAGCAACTGCATTCTATGAAACTACTCCACCTTTACTAAAACTTCAAAATAATATCACTCGGAACTCAAGAAATGGGGAAAATTAGTCGTTGCTTCTATAAACAACTTCTGTTGTTGTTCCTTGACTGATTTTAGAGTATCATGAATATATTACTAGCTTAGGTAGTCGGGTTTTAGCTAGCTGGCCTCAGACGCTTATTAGCCTATCCACTTTCTTCTATATGATTAGGCTAACTAGAAGACTAAGTATCATTCTTCCCTTTCTGTAAAAAATATATCTCTAACCTTTGTGGCACCAACTCTCATAATCTGTTATCGACAACTTTAAGAATAAAATGTCCTCTTTTTTCACAATGGATTTATTTCTGTGAGTTTTCAGTATCCATCAGCAATCATATGTACAGCTTGTTCATATGGTAGTTTTACCTTTTATTTCACTAACTTGTGGAGATTTCAAAATATGTATAGTCAAAGTAAGGAATAGCGACCTACCGTTTAGAATTGACTTTGGATTCAGTTAGGCTTGGGCAGTAGACCATTGTTAAGTTGTGGGTTTGAGGTTAGGTCATGGTTTGGGAATCACTATTGGATTTTTTCCTCCTTCCAGGTGAAGACTAACAAGATGTAGAGTCTTCTTAAACAGAAATCTTCAAGTGTTTCACGTGCGACTCGCTACCGTAAAATTAAGATGGTGCTACAGGACTGGACTACGTTGACTCCTAGTTTAAATATAGGGGGAGGCAGTGAAATAGTAGAGCGTGTTGATCATTTCACTTATTTAGGGAGTTGCGTCAACCAACGCCAGCGGGTTGATTTTTGACGAAATCTCAACACGGATTTAGAAGGCTCGTTTGGCATACGCCAAATTACATCATCTTTGAGGTAGACGTGATATACGATGGCTGTCGACGAAAGGGTGTGTATACTGCTTAGCAGTTCACTCTGTCCTCCGTTAAAGCTGAGACATGTCCAATAAAAGTGGAAGACATGAAAAGGCAGGTTAGCTGTTTTTGATCAAAGGTGTCTGCGTCCTATCTCCTGTGCTTAGTCGTATAAAATAGTAAGAAATATTGAGGTTATGCTTCGAGTGCTGGGTAAGGAGGGGAAATCAATCGACGAGGTTGTGAATTTACACCGATTGAGATACATATATATATATATATATATATATATATTATTATTATTATTATTTTCCTATTTCCTCAGGTTCCAAGTGGAACGTAGGACTTCAACAGCACATCTCCACTTCATCTTGTTATTTGCACTCTTTAGCTGGCTCCACGATTGTCCATAAGCCCCTATCTTCACAAATTCTCCTCTATGTCACCCTCAGACCAACGCCCAACTCTTCATCTCATTCGGGCTCCACTCGAGGGTGGCGCGCTATGTCACTCAACAGTCTCCTCAAACATATGTTCGATCCATCTCCATTTCTGTCGGCATATTTTTTAGGCGGATAAGCTCTTGGTTGATTTCTTTTAACCAAATCCCATTGTTGCTAATCCATTCTGACCTTCAGTATGGAAACAAAACTGTTGTTGATAAAATTCTGCAGTAGCCTGTTGGAAATGCTTTTGGCGACATGACAAGTCGCTAAATCGTACCGGAGCACTGACTAAATTGGCATTAGTGTTAACAATATACTTTGAGTAAATGCACTAATTGTATTTTATTCTTAAATTTCTCCTAGATTATACCTTCGAAAAGGTCGTGGTGAGACTAGAATTTGTAAAATATACGACAGCCCTTGTCTTCCAGAAGCTGAAGCCATGTATGCTATTCTTCCAGATGGTATAGGTGATGCGAAGGATTAGGCTAAAAGAAAATTACACAAAGAAAAGCTTTTTAACATCCTCACTAACTGTCAAAGTTGTGTTTGGGTTTTTATTTTTTGCATTTTTATTTTTTGACGCTTCATTACAATTTTAAGAATTGTGAATATTTATGCACGCATTTAATCACTAGAGTTTTTTTTGCAGTTGACATTTCTGTTACCTTGATAATTTCAAGACATTTTTATACAATAGTTTACTTTTGTTATATTTGAAATTCGTTTGTTTTCATTTCACTTGGGGGAGGCTTCAAATAATCGATAAAATAAGTGCATGGTTTAAAATGGCAGTATTGGTGTACTTTTAATTAATTTCAAGGATTTTGGTGCGATGCCTATCTGTTAAGGTTCCAGGCATGCACTGATGAGGTTTTGTAAAGTCGGAGATTGAAAATCTGTTTCCTCTAATTTTTTGATAATTTTCTATCATTCTTTACTTGATGTTATTTCTAATTAAAATATCTTCTGAATACCCACAAGTCTGGGAACCCACTAAGACACTGATCTTAGATATGTTGTAAAACAGCCAAACGCTCTATTGAGTTCCTTATCAAAACACCCCTTCTAAAGTCCATTCGATCTTGTTAACATTAGGTAAAAGGTTATGTGGTCAATCAGCATGGAATCCATGTCCACCGGCGTCCCACTTTACGAAACTTTTGACTTCATTTGCGATTACACCGCAAGCAATGGGCTACAAAAATTCTTGCCTGTCACTTACATCAAAGATATTATCGTGACATGTACAGATAATATCAGATTCAATTTACAAGGAAAAGCATACAAACTAATTGATGGTGTTGCAATGTGAAGCTGTTTTTTGTCCCCTGTTAGCTGATTTTTGTGTATCGAATAGATGTAAGCTATGCTGACAGTTTTCAGGCTGTAAATTCGGATTGGACTCCTGGGGATTTTTCAATGACTAGGTTGGACGACGGAAGAACAGAGCGTGTTGTGACGATATTTTGCAAACTGGCATCGAGTTAACAATGTTTTCATTTCAGCAGTTTTGTTTCTACTCAGTACAAATGTGGTCTAGTGAAATGTCGGCTTTCAAAGAGTCCTTAATATTTATACCAGGGATACATTAATGGATGAGTTACACTACAAACATTCAGCTTTGCTGATTAATAATATCCAGAAAACTTTATTATATGTCATAAAAAGGAGAGGCTACTCCTTTGAAAGCCAACTTCCGTGCTAAAGAAATCTGTCTGTTGTGAACTTACATCCAAAGGTGGTCAAATCATGAAACTGACAACTTTAAACCTATCTTGGCTATCAACCACACACATTCTACACCACACTATTTTTCCCTACCTCGAATATTTTCACTTCCTGTACCTACAATTAAAGCATGAATTTTTATAAGCTATACTTCACGCTAACTGGCAGTAGTCTGTCTGTTTTCGACATAGAACTTTGCACAAATGTGCGGAAGTTCAAGTCGCCACACTCCGTGTAGCACGCGAAGCAAGAGAAGAAAGTACAAGAAAAGCATAATAGAAACAGTGAGCAGAGGTGTGAGACAAAGGAGTAATAAAGAAAAACAAAACAGTTTCATTGGAGATCATAAGTCACAAGGAGTGGATGCATCTGCGCCACTGAGAACGATTTTGAGCCATGTCACCAATTGTTTCCAACCATAGATTTTTACCGTCCCGAGGACCCCAGCCTGGAAGTCTACACCTTCCTACGTGGCTTAGACCAACTGTTGTGGATTTCATTGACTGGTGAAGCCAAGTTTTTGTTTGACCGCCGCTAGCTTTTTTCCAGCCTGACCCTATATCCGCTAACATTGCTCGTCGAGGGAGGCGATGGCTTGGCATACGTAACACATGTCCTAACCATCTCAGTCTTTGTAGCTTCACGACTTCGTCGATTGATTTCCCCTGTTTACCTAGAACTCGACGCCTAACCTCAATGTTGCTCACCTTATTATGCCACTTTACACGGGAAATAGAACGCAGGCACCTATGATCAAAGACAGCTAGTCTTTTCATGTCTTCCACTCTCAGTGGCCAGGTCTCACAACCATAAAGGAGGACGGAGCGGACTGATGAGCAGTACACCCGCCCTTTGGTCGATAGTCGAACATCTCGTCTACGCCAGAGTCGGCGTAAACTGGCAAATGCGAAACGAGCCCCTTGTATTCGTGCTGAGATTTCGTCAGAGATCAACCCCTGCGTTGGCTGATGGTACTTCCCAAATAAGTGAAGCGGTCAACGTGCTCTACCACTTCACTTCCTATTTTTAAACTAGGCGTCGATGTAGTCCAGTCCTGTAACATCATCTTGCATTTGGCGGGAGCGAATCGCATGCCAAACATTCGTAGATTGCGGCTCAAGGTGTTTAGAAGACTCTGCATTTCGTCAGCGTCTTCGCCTAGAAGGACTATATCGTCTGCATATTCCAAGTCAACGAGATTATTCCCCGGTAGCAAGTCAATCCCTGAGTCGCTGAAGTCACCTAGGGTTAAGTCCATTAACACATCTATGATGAAGTTGAATAGAAAAGGAGATAATGGGCATCCTTGACGGACACCACTGGTCGTCATCAGTTCAGATGACAGCTCGCCGTAAGCCCTCACCTGGCTGTATGAGTACGAGTAGAGTGCCTTAATCAGTGCAATATATTTTCTTGGAATTCCCTTTACAGCCAAGCATCTCCAGAGAACTTCCGATCGACAGAGTCGAATGCTGCCTTTAGGTCAAGAAATATAATGACTGTTGGACGCCGGTAGGAATTCCTATGTTCTAGAATCTGTCGGAGGGTGAAGATATGATCAATACACCCTCTTCCTGGTCTAAAGCCTGCCTGGCTCTCTCGTGTTTGTGCCTCCCGAGCACCACTCAGTCTACGCATGATTATTGAGCCTAAGACTTTAGATACTATATTAGTCAAGCTAATCCCTCTGTGATTATCACAGGAAGACTTGTCTCCCTTCTTGTATATGGGGATAATCAGTGACTTACACCAACCCGATGGGACTTCTTCTGATTCCCAGACGCTGCCTAGTACCTCAGTTAATCCGGACAGTAAGCTGTCTCCACCGTACTTAAATACCTCTGGAGTCATTCCATCAGGTCCCGCTGCTTTGCCTAGTTTCAGATTGGTGACAGCTTTAGTAACCTCAGTTGGGATGGAGGACCTGTGTCTATATCCCATTCAGGGAGGTGTTGGATGCTCGGAAGGTTGAGCGTGGCTGTGGGCCAATTAAACTGCTCCTCATAATGCTCTTTCCAACGATCCAGTCGTCTATCCTGGGAGCTAATTATAGTGCCATTTTTTTCCGAGATTGTCTCACTGATGATTTGTCTTCTCCCACCCGTTTCCCTGATGAGTCTAAAGAGTTGCCTATCCTCGAAGCTTTCTCCATCTCTTTGGCTTTTGTCGCCCACCACTGTTCACGGTCCTTGCGGAGACTTTTCGTAAGTTTCCTCTTGTGCAGCTTTCGCTCCTCATTGAATTCGGAGCTCGCCGGAATAAGTCTTCTAGCATCTATCAGTTCGGATGAGGCGGTGGAGATCCAGTGGCAGTTGACCTGTAGTTGTGGGGACTTATATATTGGTAGATTGATGGAATGTCTCATCGTCGTTCGAAAGATAATGTTCTTAAATGACCACTTATTAATTTCTGGTCACAAAATCAATATTAGTGACTGTTTCCCAATTATGTCCCATAACTTAAGTGCAAGGTTGAATGTGATGAAAGTACTTTAGCCTAATCACATGCATCCCAAACTGTGCGTCGGTGGTACAGCGGTTAGGACTCTCTCCGACCAAGCACATGATCCGGCTTTCGATCCCCTGCCGATGCACACCTGACATCAATGGTCGGCGTGCAAAATTTGGGCTACCGGTATCATGTGCTGAAAACTCCATACTTCTTTAAAAAATACGATATGGAGTCAGGCTATAGATAAAAATAGTAATTGACTCCACCTTTTTCCTACCATGGACTACTTGACCTATTAAAATCTATTGGTTTTCAAAATGTACTTTTATTTTAGATAACTGATGAATTATCAAACTTGTTATTATTGTCAGCCATGGTATTTGTAAAACGATCGTAAAGAAACTAAGTCAAACCATTAGGTTGGAGAAAGTCACAGAAATCTGTTCCTATTTATTTCTAGTTATGCTTACGAGTACAACTCGTGTTCACCTCAATTCTGAAGGGCGTATAACATGTGATTAATTATCTGTCTATCCTCATTCTTATTCATCAAGATTAGGAATGTCACTTTAACATTGTGCATTCGTTCTTTAACCCATAGTCACGTG